GAAATGCATCGTCCCTTCTTTCCTCATCGCTAGCACTCCTGGACCGTTACTCATTGTGAGGAAATGTATAAAACTGCTGAAAGTCTATGCCAGTCTTTCTCAGGCCTGCAAGCGGAGACGTGTTCTCTCACCCTCTCTGCATTGGAAAGCAATACACGTACAACACAAGCCATGCAACCACAGGACACCGAAGAAACTTGGCCTTCTCTCACACGCATATAAACTTTCTTACTGAAGCTTCTCTGAGGCTTACTGAGACTTTTGTATAGTAAAAAAAAATTGTGCAAATAAATTGCACAAATGTAGAACTTTGATGATGTTATTCATATTGTGGCCCCACATTGAAATAGCTAGAATAACAAATTTTCAATTTTCTGTCCAATATTTTTCCTCAAACACTACAGAAGGAGAGCGCAAATTGAAGAGGCTTTTGCACAATATTTAAAAAAATTGGTTGAAGTTCGACTCTTACGTCCATTTGAAGTTGAACGCTTGTTTAACAGATTTTATTGCTCCAAAACAGAAATCCAAAAACACACAATGATCGGACTGTTTTGAATGTGTAGAAAGAAAATAAATAGTTCAGTATTTCCCCATATTGTTAGAATAAAGTAGGTTGCAGTGAATATTTCCAGCACAGTGCTGTTTAAAAACAATGAAGCAAACCAGTCTGTTAAACAAGTGAAGCCGAATTTGTGTAGCGGAGCGTTCTTTTGTTGGTAAAATGAATTATTTTAGTAAAATGATTGTTTTCTTATTATTTTGTGTCTTTTTTTTCAAAAACATTGAAGGATGCTAAGGAAGTAATTTTCACTTTGTTTTTATTTCTTAACAAACTTCTTTATTTTCCACTTCCTTCTGCAGTCGGGGCTGTTTGTTCTTATCAGTGTTTTTGTCTGTCACTAGTGCTGTTTCATTGTTTTAGCATCTAGTCAACTCTTATTTCATTCCCGTATGGGTCCTATCTGACTATGCTAAATTATGACATGGTAAATCCTGTGATGACCCAATCTGACCTGTCCTGCTTCTCCTGTTCCCTGAAAGCTAACAATCTGAGCAGTGGATGGACCTTGATGTCTCCTAGGTGATGTAATGATGGAAGATCTGCAGTATCTGGTTGTGGAGGACTGTGAATGTGGCCCATATCTTGGAGCTCACCCAACTATAATCTCTCCAGAAACCATAACAGTCAAAATAATGATAAAGAGAGACTTCGTATCAATCCTACCTTCTGTATCACTCAACCGCACCCAGATTATCCGTGTAGTGATCACCACCCACATTCTCTCCTACTCGTCTTTAAAGAGTGTTACACTGGAAACAAGCCATATGCGTTTCAGACCAGCTACCAGCTTATTCAGCGGTTCTTCAAAAGGAGGACGCTGAACAGACTGGACCAAAAGATGGAGGCTCCGTCCGTGGTTTTGATGAGTGAGAACATTTTGATTGTGTTTTGATGGACGTCCTTGCAAACAGACTGGACGAAGCATGCCTTAGAGCCTGGAACTGGACAGTGTCTCCTCTAGCATGATGTCAACAGATGAATCAAACCTGTGAACTTAAGGCTGTTACTGAATTTGAAAATGAGGGTTTTCTTTCTCCGCCTGTTTCAATACCAGATTTAACAAGCCCTCGTCCACATGGCCCTCTGGAGAATCTCAATGAAGCTCACGTGAAGTTTACTGGATTAGGTCTTGGAGTGGTGAAGGGGTGAAGCTGAAGTCCAGCTAAAGTGACTTTAGCTTTAGGCACATTTCCCTTTTCATACCTGAAAAAATGGTGGACAAAGCTTTTCATACAACAGTAAACTTCTTTAAAATGAATAACGTTGTAAAACTACAGTGGCTTTAGGTTGAAAACCATTAAATCTCTTAAACATGACTGCTAATACAACTTTGCTGTATATCTAGTTAGCATACTTAAGGCTAAACCACTGCTTTACACCAAAATGTGTAGTCATACAAAGTTATTCACACATATATTATGTTTGTTCTTAAAAAAATACAGCTAATTAGCACATTAAGGCTAATCTAGCTGAGGCCGAGTGCGTTTCTCGCTGTCCTCTCCTTCTGCGCTTGTGTAATGTAGATGTGACATACGTCCGTGTGGTGGGTCGAAGTTGGCGAGGGTGTGTTAAAACCAGTGTTGAAACTGGGCCTGTCTCTTTCAGCACTGTCAGTACCGTAAAAGACAACTGGTCACACAGAAAAAGCTTACCTTAATTTTTTTAAACAGGGTTCCTAAACTCTATGAGCAGCGATTGGTGCGTTAGCTTGCTAAAACTCTGATGAGACTTACAAGTTTTTTTAAAGGGTCTGATAAAGAGCAATAGTTATTTTTCAGAAGCGCCGTTGAATGCAAACCTTTCCCTCAGCCAGTGCCCAGTAGGTGCAGTACTGGACTGTATCCCTAAATATGTATAAAAACACATTTGTACAGCATGTTGTACAGTTGTACCCCTTTAACCACAAGATTGCCATCTGTCGTTTAAATATGAACTGTTACAAGTGGCAGGTTCCCAAACCCAGTCGCGGGAAGCCTTTGCACTGCCTGGTTATCCACTTTAAAGTGAAGTCTACACCGTTTCCTCTTAGTCAGCTAAGAAATGTTTGGTGTCTGAAGATTAATTCTTTAGTTTTAGCACTACAAAGCTAATGTAGCTTGGTTTGAGGCAAACGTGATGATATAGGAATGCAGTTAGCACAATGCTAATATGAACTTATTAGCTGGCCTACATTAGCCTTGTAGCTTTAGTGCTAGGCTAAAAAAGCAAACCTTAGACACCAAACATATTTAGCATTTTATGTCCCTCATTCAGCTCATAAAGAGCTTGATGGTCAGTTGATGGATTGAACGAGGTGTGATGGATCAAGGTCACTAAACCGTGCACTGCAGAGGTACCTGAAGGCGGGTTTGAGGGCCACAGCTGTAAACCTGGTGGCTTTAACTGCATCTGCCATTTTGCCCTCTTACCTCAATCCAGTCTAAAGTGGATACGCCAGATTGAGTGTACTTTCTTCATAATCTTATGCATAATTCAGTAGCTCAGATGTTAAGTGATTCAAAGTGGAAAAGTATCTATGGTGGCTGATCATGAAGCTACTTGAGGGAACGCTAAGAGCGTGTAAAGCTACATCAAACCAAAAGGGGCTACTAAAGAACATAAAATAGAAGATTCAAATTAGTTCTGATGTCTTCGTTATTATTCTAAAATGTGTGAAATGGCGATAGAAGAAGTCCTTCTGTAGGTTTATCCAGACTTTTGACCGCTATTGTATATGTACACAAATATCCTGATCGTTTTGTGTGGCTAAGTGGACGATGCTGCTCCTATTGAGCTGACCCCAAGGGCTTTGGAGGCAGGCGGAGCTTGTGTGATGAGGTCACTCCTCTGAATTTAATGATGTCATTAAGTCTTTGCTATTTTTGTCCCCTTTTCGGAGTGAAAAGTCCAGGAAGCTTCTCGGTCTCCGTTTCTGTGTGTGAAGAAAAGGACGTGTTTTTGAGCTCGGTTGCACTACGTGAACTGCAGGACGTTATGATAATGAAAACGTTCGTTGGTTCATTGTAAACCTCTCCATGTGTACAGTGATATTTCTTCTGTAAAGTGTAAACCTAACGTCGATCCAGTCAATCCTGTAAACATTTGAATATTCTAAAATCTTTACTAAACAACCAAAGTGTGTCTGTGTTTCATTTTTCACATATTTTTAAGTGAAATTAAATAACTGAGTGTACGGAGGTGTTTGAATGTGACTGTGTGAACATGCACTCTTGACTGGAGAAAATAGGATTATAAGGGACATTCTCAATCCTTTACAGCTATTCTGAAGAGAATGGGGCCTTGAGGCCTTTATCACTGACCTGAATTACATTTGTTTTTTTTATTGGTAATTTTATTTGCAAGGTAGAGGTAAAGATGTGTACAAACAATGTATCTACCACCTTTAAGTACCCAACAATGAAACAAAATAAGTCATATTATCAATATAAAGATTTTTTTAGTTTGTCCACCTTCTGCCTTTATTACAGCTTCCGTTCTTTTCTAAAATGGCTTAAGGAGATATTTCTGAGGAAACACGATAAGTAAAAAACAGGCGTTTCCAAAATTGGAGCTCAAAAAACAATTAAAAACTACAGAGAAATTGGTCTCCTAACAACCACCTGGAAGACCTGGCAGACACCAAAACTGCCCCCATCAGATAAACAGCACTTAAAGCTTTCGACTTTGAGAGAGAGGAGAAAATCAAGCTGCTTCAGATCTGAAAACATCCACAGGTGTTTCTGTTCATCCTTCCACTGTGAGAAGACGACTCAGCGCTGTGGGTCTGAAAGGATGTGTAGCTGATCAAGAAGAACCTCACTGAGAAAAGGAGACGGACACATCAAACAAAGAAGCTGGACAATAGACTGACCACCCCAGAGTCCAGACCTCAACACCACTGAATGTGTTTGATTACTTCAGAAAATGATCAACCAGCTTCTAAGACTGATCTTTGGAGGTGTGTCTGCAGATTATTTGAGGAACTGAAAGTGAGTCTCTTGAAAAGAATGGAGGCTGGAATAAAGGGAAAGAGTGACTCACTGAACACTCAGACAGCTGAGAGTAGATTTAGCTGTTGAAACTTCTGTGTAGTTTTCTATTCAGGAGATATTTTCCGCTTTTTTTCTTAAGAAATAAACAACTTGCACTTAAATTTGTTTTGACTGGAACCTTAACAAATAAACCATGGTGTCTGACTGAGGTACAGTACTGTTTAGTGTCACCCTGGACCTTATGGACGACAGCTTTTGTGAGATCTCCTCAGAGCTGTGCTGGAGAATGCTGGGAATGCATTGAAACTGGTGTGAAATGTCCTTTATGGCCGTGTAACAGAATCACATGTGTACAGTGTGCTAGTGTTCCAGGTAAAGCTGTTTATATAACGTCTGCTGCTTATTTCACAATGTTTCTCTGCTGCAGGCCTGCAGTGCACTTCTGTCTGGATGAAGCTCAGATCTCCGTGAGCTCCTCTGTGGTTCCTCTGCTGTGAGTTCTGATGTTCACTCACTCTCTGACGGCTGTGGAGTGTCTGAACCTGAGGAGTGATGAATTCTCCACCGAGCCCGTCTCCCACCCGCTGGTTTAAAGCCTTACGGAGGTGAGTGAGTCTCTGTAATCTTCTCTGCCTGTTTCACTGGGGTCCTCATATTAAAATACAGGTAATGATGAAATATCAACAGTGGGCAATATGGCAGAAATCATGACACATTTAATGTGCATCAGACCACTTTGTGAGCAATCTGGAGCAAACAAAATTCACCAGCAAAACATTAGGGCTGAAAAGTATGAAAACAATGAGTACTCATGTATTCTTACATAAATTATTTATGAAAGAACAGGCAGACAATTCAAATTAATAATGTTACTATGCTGTTTATGCAGGTACTCCGCAGTGGGTGTTATTATTTACAGGTGTCCTATAATTGGTCTAAATCTGTATTTTCAGGATGTGTGCAGTTGTGCAATGTTCTAGAAATACTAATTACAATCAAGATATACTCTGAAAATTGTACTGTGACATAATTTATCACAACAGTAATATCATCATGTTGACCATTCCTGTAATGTAGTCTCATGTATAATAATAGTTATTACCACTTTTCATACATAAGTGCTCAATATGACAGTGCATGTAAATAAAACAATACAACTAAAAGAGCGTGGCAAAAAAGAATAAAATAAAACGATTTATGTTTTAAAAAAGAAAAGGGTAGAAAGAAAAATCAGGAAAAATAGAGAAAAAATGTAAAAAATATAAATATTTAAAAAATGATCAAAATATAGAATTTACTATATATTGTCACTGTAAAAAAAAATCGCCATTTTTATCGATTTTTATTGTTCTACATCATGTGGACACGGGAGCTGTCCTTAACACTGTGAAAATCATGATGAATGGACCAGTAGAAATGCTCCTTATTTGTTTATTTATTATCTTACATTAAAAAGTTCATGTTTTTTCCTTCTCCGGTAAAGTTCATACTTTTGAGATGCATCTGTTTATTCAGATGGCGACAAGATTTATATAAATACATATATATTTACAGCTGCCTGTAAAACAGGATCTGTATGATATAAATGATATGAAAGCTGCCTGATGAACAAAATATAATTTGATCTCTTTATAATAAATAAGGAAAGTCTTTTGCATTTGGCCTGTTCTATCAAAACCAGTATAAAATCAGAATGTCATTACGTCTCGTGTCTCATTTAGCACTGATTGGTTCTTTAAGTGGGCTGTGCTTTCTTATTAGCGCTAATCTCAGTTTGTGGTTTAGTCTTATGTATTAGTCAGTCAGATTAGGAGTTTGTGTATTAATGGAGCCCCGCAGTGCTGGGAGTCTGAGCTGGGTGAAGAAAACCAAAGCCTGCCCCGTGTGTCTGAGGAACGGCCGACTAACATGCAGGAGGTAAAAGAGTTTTGAGGGAATGCTAGTTTAAAAAAATTACAAAGGGTCTTAGAAGGGAATTTCACCTATTCTTAAACTGTCTGCGTAATTAAATCCCTGAGATGCAAGTCATTCAGAGCGGTTTGGTGTGAAATTGTACAGACGCTTTCTTTACAGTGGTGGTAATAGGAACCAGGGGTCGCCATGACTACAACACAGATTTTATTTACTGTCAAAACCACCAGTGAACCTACACGAGTCTTCTGAGTTTATATGGATGTTTATGATGGAAAATAGTGGAAAATCTGAAATAATAAGATTCTCCTTTTGGACTACCTTCCACCACGAATGGATTTTAAGGCCAAAAACTTCTCAAAACTATCCTAAAACAGTGTCTCAGACATCAGACAGCAAATTTATTAACATTTACTGTAGTAACTTTCTGTGAGGGAGCTTTTAGAGGTGGACGTCTGGTTCCTATCACCACCACTGTGAACAATTCTGACTCGGTAAGTTTCTCTTGAATGCAGCATTTCACACCAAACCGCTCTGAATGACTCTGTTTACATGCAAAAACATAGAAAAATACTGCAGAAATATTGAAAATACTGAAAATCTCTTGAATGTATGACCTTTTACACTTCAGTGCCAATCACAGAGGAGATACCGTTTCATTTTTAATTTAAATTATAACGTATTTATCCGTTAGCTGCTATTTGTTTAACCCAGCATCTGATTACTGACCAGAGTATAGTTTTATTTAAAAAACTACCAAAGATTAAGAAAAGAAAACGCCTTTTAGGCTGAAAGGGACTTTTAAATGACGGTAACGTTAAAGCAGCAAATGTGTGTAGTAAGCCAACGTTAACTACGAAGAAAGAGAAAATATCCTACTAAGTTAGTTATCTGACTAACGTTAGCGTAGTTAGCTAAGCCAGATAGTTACCCGAATCTTTAGCATCTTTAAATGTAAATCTGGTGTGGTAGAGCAGTAAAACACTGAAATGTAACCATATAGAAATACCCTGAATGCTTAAGCTAACCATTCATCAGTTAGCTGATGCTAGCAAATTGGCTTCACTTCACTGCACGATGGTGCGTTAACCGGAAGGCAGAGGGCGGGTGTGTGGGAGCCAACAGTCTCTGTCAATCATTACCTTCAAAAATGAACAAAGGAGCTTATTTAACTATTGAAAATATACTGATTGACATCTTATGTTGCAGTGACTAAGCAGTTACTAAGTTACAGTGCGCTGCGCTGCATGTTTTTGAGTGTATGGTGGTTAGTTTGAGCTGTTGTTCTCCTGCAGGACCAGGACCGGAGAGCCGTGTCAGAAGTCAGGTCCATCAGCATGTTCCGAAGTCCTGAAGAGAGCCAGAGCTGCTTTCCATGCTGGCCGCATGGCTCCAGAGAGCTTCAGGCTGGCCCAGCTGGAGGCTCTAGTGAGGATGCTGATGGAGCATGAGTGCGACTTTGTGGATGCTCTCGACCGCGACCTCAAAAAGGTAGGAAGTCTTGAGATGCAAGCTTTGTCAAGAGTTCATAGTGTATTATTTATCATTTAATAACTTCATGGTGTTCCCAAACATAGTCTTAATCAAACCTAGCCTGTTTAAGTTGTTGAACAGGCTAAAACAACTAAAGATCTAACAATGTCAATACAGTATTGAAAAATAAAAGGACATTAACGTGCAAAGCAGTGCATGAAAATGTAAAACTGTAACGTATCGACGGTCTGTCGGTTCTGAGGCTCTCTAATTTCAGTCTTTTTGTGAAACCACTGTCAGTGGTCAATTCATGGTCCATTTCATTGAGATATGAAACCTTTAGAGCACTGAAACTGCAACTCAGGTTAAGTTAATGCTAGTATCCGACTCATTATACATAATTTAGTGTGCTTTTCTGAGATCAGTCATCTTTAGTGTGAGTAGAGATTATATGGCTGTAGGAAGGAGAGAACTCTGAGACCCTGGGCTGAAGTTCTGTGCGGTGTACTTTAAGCTAGAGGGCCGGACCCCCCCTTGAACAGAGATAGAACTGAGGAACAGAGAGGAGCTGGGGAGGTGGTGCCAAAACTTTGTCACAGGAAGTGGAAGGTTGACATGGAAATTATCAGAAGAAGACAGAAAGGAGAAGAAAGAGCTTCAGCCGTTGAGGCATATTTTTATAATTAGAGCATTCATGACATTTTAACATATCAAAGCCGAAAGATATATGTGTACTGAATTAACTGAACTATCTTATAAGCAGGAGTGTATGAAGTATAATGAAAGTGATTTAACCCTCTAAATGTGTGTTTGCTTATTTTTGTAATGCAGTAAAGCTTTCAAAGTACATTTCTGTGGTGGTTATAAGGCTATAAGACTGATTCTTGTCCTGTCAAAAAAAGTTGGCTAGAAAAAATAAGATTTTATATCATTATATTTTTTCAGCCTCGCTTTGAGACTGTAATGTCGGAGCTGATGGTGGTGAAAAATGAAGCGCTTCATGCAGCCAGCAACCTGAAAAAGTGGATGGAGCCCCAACGCATGGAGCGCAGCTGGGTAAGAGAGGACTGTAAGACAGGGTTCCCCGATCCTGCTCTTGGAAATCAGACTGCATTTCACAATTTTTCTTTCTGATTCATCTCATAAGGTAATTTCCCATGTTGTTCATGACATTAAAATGAGAGTGCCGAGTGCCGGAGTGCTGGAGCAAGAAAACTAAAGTGTGGAGATGCTATAAAACCAGGAATGGAAAATTGTAATAAAAGAGAAAAAGATAATAGAGAGAAAAAGAGAATGAGAGGGAAGATAAAGAAATTTAAAGAGAAAGATTTTTCAGAGAGAGAGAGAGAGAGGAGAGAGAGATGTATGGATATAGTTTTGTTCAGATTAGGCTTTGTGTGACTCAGAAACGCTGTTCTGTATTTCAGCCACAAAGCCCCACATTGTGTTTCCTCCAGCCAGTCAAAGCAGATTACAGCACAGATTTTCACAGGTGCTCTCTCACACAGGCTTGGCTTAGTATTAGCATTTTTATTCGCCAGCCTGTCAAATAATGGTGACTGTACCAGCACCTGGTTGCATGTTCTTACTGATCGCTGGTTCTCTTGTTGCTTCATGGAAAAGGCCCTGAGATCAGACTGACAGAGAAGATGGGATGGTGTAATGTAACTGTAAAATTCTGACAGGTTTATCCTCTCATAGCTACTATTGCTACATTTTAACATATTTTACTGTTAAAAAGTAAACAGACTTTAAAATATGTTCAGTGCAGACATACTTGACAAAGCATGAATGTAGGTCCATTTAAAGCGAGCAAAAAAACCCCCTCAAATAATCAAACTAGAAAAAAAAATTGTTTAGCCACTGAATGTTAAAGTGGCATCTGGGGAGAACTCGTCTCACAAGATTTGTACACAGGGTTTTTAGAAAACTTTAATGAACAGTACAAATGATGTGATGCATACCAATGCATTAATATTAATTATCACAATTAATATTTTTAATTGCCAGTGTGAGCACTATATTGTCCTGTTCAATCTGAGTTATCTGGCTAACTGACAAAAGTTAGTTAGAAAAAACTTAATTATCTGACATTAACACTGTTCTGTAATATTGTTTATATTACTGATGTATTAAAATGAGTGTTAGCAAATACAGTAACTCAGAATTCAGCAGCAGGGGTGCTCAGTCCCAGTCCTGGGGATCCACCACCCTGCTGAGTTTAGCTCAAATCTTGCACACTTGATCCAGGTAATGAAGGCTTTCAGGGGCATCTACAGATTAGAGCCTGGTGTGTTTGATCTGAGCTCTCCAGGGTGGTAGATCTCCAGGGCCGGGACTGGGCATCCCTGCTTTAGAGCAAACATATCTCAGTGTTTGTTCAGGTTTGTTTGGAGACTTTGAGACTTCATCAGTATATTAACCCATTTAATTAGTCCACACTTCAATTGGTCACTCTCATAAAATATTATTAGTATCATATTAGTTTTCATAGTAGGTAACATGAATATTGTAGTTACTGAATAATAAGTTAACGTGATTAAACTTGGAGCTTCAGGGGTTAACTCTGTAATACACAGCCTTTTAACACAGATTAGCAGTATTTTAGTAATTTAATTCTTCAGATTCCTGAACCTTCCTGAACTACCACATGTGGTGGCAGCTTAATTGGAGTTTGTTTTGTTTATTTGGTCCATAAAAGGCTAAATGTGGTTTGGGGCTGAACAACCAGCTTTAAGGAAATAAAATTTCTCTGTATACAGTTTTGATATTCTAGAAAAGGGAGGTGGATTTTTATTTAGTGTTGAAGCCATCTTATTTTGACTTTAATATCTCTTTTTACAGTGTCATATTATGTCTTCCTGTTGTTATGTGATGATTATGGTGGTGTGAAAGTTGCTTGAAGATGCAAATTATTTACCCTGTGGCTTTCCTGTCTGTCCCAGGCCACAGCGTTTGATGACTGCATGGTAGTCAGCGAGCCACTAGGAGTAGTGCTAATTGTAGGAAACTGGACGAGTCCTGTGCAGCTCTGCCTTGTGCCATTAGTGGGGGCTATTGCAGCAGGTAAGAGTATATCTTCAAAGTGGTGGTTAATACAGGTGTATCAAATTCAGGATCATGAGCATCCCTGTACAGTTTGGTGTCAACCCTCCAACGCCTGAGATGAATCAAGTGTGCTAAATCAGGATAAACTAAACTTAACCTTGCAGGCCTGGAGTTTCGCACTGAAGTGCTAAGAATCTCTGGCTTGTTTTGTAGGAAACTGTGTGATAATCTGCCCATCAGAAAGCTGCTCTCATACTGCTGAGCTTCTGCACCGACTCCTGCCTGCTTACCTGGATAATGTAAGACGCCACACTACACATGTTTTAGAGGTCTGTCCTAATGTTGTGCGCTAAGTAGCAGTGTTTCTACTTGGTTCTTGCACCAGAAAAAGTATGGAAAATCTGAAAATTTGTAAACAGTATGGATTCCTTCAAACGCCAAGATTGTTGGTATTGTCTTGTTCTCTGCTCTCCTTTTAACTTATATGTAAAAGTAAAAAAAAAAAGTATCAAAGAGGCATAAAAGCCCTGCAATGAGTATCCAGAAAGGCTAACTAATTTGAAGAAAATCTGTCCATGTCTCCTCAGGAATGTTACCACTCTGTTTTAGCTGCAGGCCATGAGGTTCCTGAGATTGTGGATCTAAAATTTGATCACGTTTTCTTCTCAGGTAGAGTCTTTGAATCTAAATAAATCAGATATTTTCCCTCAGATATGTTCAGATTAAAACAGTAACAGCTTTGTCATATACACCTTTTATATTCCAAGACCTCTAAGATGATGGCCACCAAACCTCACCTGGAGATCTCATTTACTGCAGAGTTTAGATCCAACGTGTATCAACATGCTGTCCTTCTTTTACTTAGCACCTGCTGTCTCTGATCCAGCCAGTTAAGGATTTATGAAGAAGTTATTTAGCTAGAGCAGATTGTGGCTGGAAGTAGAAGGTAGATCACCAGGTCCTGGATTGGTGACCACTGTCCTAAAAACATGAGGAATATATAATCAAACGTATTCTCCTCTGGCATTCACTGGATAGTAGAATAAGCAAAAGTGCTGTAAAATAAGGCACAAACTACATGTTAAGTTCATTAATGTCTCCACAGTGTTAAATCTGCTTTACTCCACTGTAACTGCATTCTGGTCTTCCAGGCACGAGGGAAGATGGGCTCAAAGTGGCCCAGGCGGCAGCGCGCACTCTCGCCCGCACCACGCTGGTCTTGAGTGGGAAGAACCCCTGCTATGTGGACCGTCAGTGTGACATCAACACCACGGCCCGCCGCATCTCCTGGGCACGCTTCCAGAATGCCGGCCAGAGCGCTGTGGCCCCGGACTATGTCCTTTGCCACGCAGATGCCCGTGAGAGCCTCGTGCAGGCCCTGCGCTGTGCCCTGCAGCAGTTCTACGGCTCTGAGCCACGCGAATCCAAGAGCTTCGGGCGACAAGTGAACGAGGAGAACTTCAGCAGGGTCAGGGAAGCCCTCTGGAGGTCCGGGAAGGTGGCAGTGGGTGGGCAGGTGAACGAGGCAGAGAAATATATAGGTGAGTGGAAGAAAGAATAGTTTTCTTCTCACACCAAATGTACTAAACACTCACTGAGCACTTCATTTATTAGGTATCTACACTCAAAGAACAATTTATTATCTCCACTTACCGTATAGGTGCACTTTGTAGTTCTATCACAGACTATATACAGAAAATAAAATCAATTACATCTTCTATCTAAAGCCCCCACAGTTCTGGTGGATGTGGTAGAGTCCGACCCCATCATGCAGCAGGCCGTGTTTGGCCCTGTCCTGCCCATCCTGAGTGTCCAGAGCGCAGATGAGGCCGTAGCCTTCATCAACAGCAGGGAGAAGCCGCTCTGTGTTTATGTCTATTCCAGCAACAGCAAGGTGAACTGAACACACCTGGGTACACACGATCAACATCACATTCACACAGGCGTACATGATGAGTTCACAAAGCATTTCTTTTAACCCCCCTCTGCAGGTGATCTCTAAGCTAATGGCTGAGACGTGCAGTGGTAGTTTCTGCTCTAACGACAGCGCCCTGCAGAGCGTGATGGTGGGGCTGCCTTTTGGAGGAGTGGGTGAGACACATTCAGCACTTTTTTAAGATTAGTATAAAATGCCAAAATGTTTTTTTTTGTTAAAAGGCTAAGCTTGACTCTCTAACAACCATCAGGTGCCAGTGGGCTGGGCTCGTACCACGGCCGCTACAGCTTTGACGCTTTCTCTCACAAGAAGTCATGTCTGCTGAGGAGCACGCGCATTGAGTGTGTGACGTACCTGCGCTACCCGCCGTACGAGGACCGGAACCTGTCCCTGGCTACACTGGCCAGCTCGCTGAGTCTGAGGAGTCAGGGCTGGTGCTCCATACTATGAGAGGGGAACTGTATGGAGCACAAAGACAGAAAGGGTGGTCTTCTTCAGGAATCAAGCACACATTCCACATAATAAAAATGAGCCATAAACCCTACATGGCATAAGTTTCAAAGCAATACGAGCTTTGTAAAAATATCCATATTTTTTATTTTTAATAGATAATTGGCAGTTATGCTTATTATAACTTACAACAAAATGGTTTGATTAAACAGTAGCAGGCAAAACCTGCATAGTAATAACTGCTACGAGATTATGTAGTTTATCTGCTGCTGATTCTCCTGCAGAGTTTTACTGCAGCTCTAATCAGATCCACCCGATTCTCCAATTCAGATGCTCCTGAAGCTTCATCAGCTCAGTCAGCTGTGTTACATTAGGAGTGTGGATGAATTAAAAACTGCTTAATTAGAGTACAAGAGAGTAAAGGTACAGCACTGCAGCACCAGTAGAATATTCTGGAATAACCTGATTTGGCCAGATTAGATATCAGTTAACTCACTGCAGTGTTGGTTATTGGCTGATTGACTGCTTGCTTTTATACTTTTGTCCTGTAATGTATTTAACTCAACAATTAAAGGAGAGAAATGTCTAACCCAGAGCTCTTTAACGAATGTGTGTAGATGATCTACACTTCGGATGCCATTCTGTACAAGGCACTCCCTCTATGCCTCTAGATTTTGAAAGAAAAACTGCTTTTCGATGTTTTGCATAATGCACATAGTTAAGGCTAAGAAAAACTGAACTGTGAGAATATTTTTCTGACGAAAACAGACCAGCACATGCTGTGTAATCTCAAATCTAGGTGATCTCACGTAACTATAATGTTGTGATAAAATAAAGATGCAGAATGCTTTGTCAGAATTTTTATTTAGAGTGTTTTGAAACAAATGAGGCTGGGTTCAAATGCAGAATCGCTTTGTTTTTTCCGGCATAGAGAAGTCAGACAGGTCGATAAATATGGGGAACCAGTGTAGGAGAGTCTGGCTGTGAGACCAATAGGACCGACAGTACACAGGGAGGAATATAGAGGAGAAACTTCCCAGACTTCATTGAATGAGTGCTGTAAGAAAGATTAGGAGGTGGCCAGGTTTTAGGAATTAAGTGCAGATGCTGTTAACACCCAGTGCAGGTAGGCCAATGCAGAGAAAGGTATTGATGTAGACATTTAAAATCTAATGCTGCTGTTTTTAAGTAGCAGTATGATATCTGTGCTTTGTCCCTCGCAACACTTTGTGAAGATATGACTAAAACCCCACAAAGACATGGAGGGCTGTGCAGCAGAAATCTTAGTATTTGTTGTGACCACCATTTGACTGTGGAAGCACAATACATTTCTAGGACAAAATCGTATATTTCCTGCTGCAAAATGGGAGCCAAACCGCAAGTGTGTTCATCATACGTGGGTCATGGTTTGGTGTGGTCAACCACCAGGTGACTTTAATGGCTATAACTGCAGTGAAGCACTGTAGTTCCAGCAGAGGGAGCTCTTCCCCATCTTAACAAACCGAAAGCATTTCAGTGTCTATTATAAAACAGCAGGGACTTTCCATCCCCCTCTGACACACATAGCTCTGGCACACAGACTGGTTTGGCATGATTCCCCACAAAATGCCAAACAGCACCAGGGAGTTTACAGACTTTATAATGAGCAGAGAGAAAGACACACCTACACCTTATCAAAGTCTGTTATTTTATAAGGGTGATAAACAGTTAATGTTTATCACCCTGAATGCAGATTTCTTCTTTGCTCTGTGTGTGTCTGGATTTTCTTTCAAACACAAACAAAAGAGTCAGTGTGAAGCGTCTCCACTCAGCACAATCTTCCTGTCCTCATCTGACCCTGTTTTCCCCCTCAGGCTTCATTAGTTTGTTCAAAAAATCATTACTTTCCTGAAGGCAGCTCTGTTTACTAAACCAGTGATGCCTACAGCGTTTTTATTTGGGTGACTGACTCTTAGTTACAGCATTAAAGCTCTAAGCGCCGTATAATTTGAAGGAGTGACAAGGAAATTCGAGATAAACACATTCAACACCAGTCAGCCAGACCTTCTCCAACCTGCTCTCTTCATTTCTGCCCAGCAACTCGTGATGCAGAGCATTTTCCTCTGCTTTCATTCACACAGAGAGGGAGGCACTCACTCTGCAAACCAAATACAGTCTTTAAAGTAAACTTGGAAAGTAAATGTAAAGTAGATGTTCGTCTCACTGTAGACAACATTCTGTCTTTTATTCAAGCAGCCAATCAGTTCTTTCTTCTCCACTGTAAAAAGTAGTTTTAATTTACCATTGATTTATGAAGACGCTGACTCTGCAAACCAAATACAGCCTTTAAAGTAAATTTGTAAGGTAAATATAAAGTAAATTAATGTCTGTCTTTTATTCAAGTTCTTGTTAAAGAAAAAAATATTTCTTCTCCACTGTAAAAGCAGTTTTAATTCAATTTATAGTCAACCATAGTCCTTCATGTTCCATGTGGAAAAAGTAGTGTAAAATGACTACTTACAAAAAAATAACTTTACTTAAACATCTTAAATATTTGTCTTTAAATAAAAAAAATGAATAACAGATCATCCCCTCTCCCACTTCATGACCATCAATCAGTTTGCTTCACTTTCTTCTTCAGACATGACTGCAGGGAAGAAGACATTTCCTTAAAAACTGTAGATTTTATTTGGTTCCTGCAGGTGAAGCTATTTGTGTAAAGCTGTTACCGAAATCACCTCTTATTTTTTCAGATTTTCCACTATATTATCATCATAAACATTCCATATAAAACCCAGAAGACTCGTGTAGGTTCACTGGTGGTTTTGTATAGTAAATAAAATGTCTGTGTTTGTGTTGTAGTCACAGTGACCCCTGGTTCTTATCACCACCACTGTAAAGACATCTGAGTCTCTACAATCCACCATTTCACATTACACCACTCTAAATGACTCTGTTTACATCTCAAGCACTGAATTATACAGAAATAAATGACTAAAATTGTAGAATTCCCCTTTAAACCATGTTTTAAACAAACATGATTAAAAAAATCTGATTTTGGCCACATCTAACAACCAAAAGCAACTGACACACTTAAAAAAAAACAAAAACACATGGATGCATTGAGTGGGGATAATTGGACTCCCCTTCAAACAATGAGGGGTCATATCCTTAAAAGATAGATCAGTGATATTTTTTCATGAAAAGCCTCTATAAATAATTAATGTTGACAATAATTTTAATGAACCACACACCAAAAATATTGCCTGAAGACAGCTCTCTTCCTTATTATTGTTTGTGAGTGAATGTTCTGCTGATATTCCCAAACAAACAATAAGAACATGTATGTGTGGTATATGGTATTTGTGAGATTGTGCTGAGTGGAGACGCGTCACACTGACACCAGTTTGTGTTTGACACAGTAGAAGAATATAAAGTGTGAAGCGTCTCCACTCAGCACAGCCTTCATGTCCTCGTCTGAACCTGCACACCCTCTTCATTACTTTGTTTCACTTTCTTCACCAGTCAAGACTAAACAGCTCGAACAGTCACTGCTGTACTGAAGACAGTTAGATGTTTAAGATGTGAACAGAGGTATTCAGAGTGGTTTCGTGTGAAATGCTCTGAGAAACTGAGTCAGAATTGTTGACAGTGGTGGTGATAGGAACCAGACGTCCACCTCTAGTTATTACATGAAGTGGTTATGCTAGGTTGACATGTTAATGGGCTTATATTTTTGTTTTCCAGTATGCTAAACTAAAATTAGCAGAAAATGGAATATTTAAGTGTGTCCTCTATAAATGATGTGCTAACTTATTTTCACTAACTTATTTTTATCAGAGTCATTTCATTTCCTACTTTATGGCTGTGACTAATTTTTCTTTCTTTTTTACTTTGTTTATCTTTAAAAACTGGAAAAAACAGCTATTTGTGAGTTTCACTTCTTTGCATGTTCATGTTAAAAACTAATCTATCTGACTCTAAACTCAATTCTTCAAAGCTTTTCACCAGTGGCTTAAATGAAAACTCTTTCATCAAATATTTAGGCACTAATCTCTCTCTCTCTTTTTTTTTAACGTAACAGGAAACCCAAGTGTCATAACAAAACATTGTTTTTGACACAGGCTGTCATGCAGAAAGCTCCACCATTTAGAACACAAAGCTCCAGTTACTACAGTGAAACACAGATAACACACTGCTGTCATGGTTTATACACTAACAAGCTGTGTTAACACATACAGGTAAAAACAAACACTGTAACTGAAACTGCAGTTTGATTACATACAATAAAAAGGCATTCTGTAGTATTTATGGTGAAATGGAAAACAAAAAGCAAGCGAGAACCAGAGGAAGAGTGGAAGTCAGAAGAAGTAGACAAGGAAAGTAGAAAAAGGACAACAAGGAAGAGAACATGTTACAGATGAGATGGATCCTCCTAAATGAATGCCTTCACATACATGACCACACTTTCTTTTCATCATGTTCAACCCCATCTGTTTAACTGAACTCACTCAGCCTGAATTGATAATGTAACTGTAAAACCGAGCTGCATCACTCTAGTTTAAAACTGGAGAATGTTAATGCTTGTTATGTTAAACTGCTGGGAAGCTTTGGATACTTTAGACTTTAAGTTAGCCAAATAAATGCTGTAAGCACCCATGCCACACGCCCACAAACATGTGTTTATTAGCCAAGAATTTTCATGTGATGGTTAGTTTTTGCATCTGTCTGTTGCATCATGTGAGAACACGTGTTTTGTGCAGTAACCAACAAATGACAAAAGGGAACCATGTGATACTTCTGGCCCAGAGAAGTGGTTGAGTTCATATCCTGTCTTTAGTTCAGCTGCAGATAAACATGGGCTTTATTATCTCAGCAAATTAGAGCAGAGTGTGTGACTTTAAGATCTCTACTAAAACTCAAGAGGAGGCATCAGTAAGATTACTGGGCTCAGAGGTGGCACCACTCCTCCAAAAGTGGTGGGACAGAACTTACATTTTAAAAAAGAAACAAAAAAAGCACAAAGGCTGACCCTGAACTTCACACACGGATAGTAAACTACTACATTAAAAAATCATTCTTTACCTAAACTTAACTGAATTAAATTCCTTCAAAATAAGGCAAATTTTGTTGATTCATTTTAATTTACTTGAACTGGATAAACTTAATCTGCTATCACAATTCCAACTCAAGTCCTTAAAACTTGATTTTACTAGTGTTGACTTAAGTTAGTTCAAATTATCTTCCTGGAGTTGGTTTAAAAGTGGACATTGTAGTGCCCAGGCAGTTTAGAACCACACTCAGCAATGGAGAATGTGGAATTGCCAACAATAACGAGGGTAGGTGATTGACCAGAATATGAGTATAAACCTAAGAGAAGATAGCCTAGGAGGAAAGACTACATAGAAATACCAAGTGGAACAGGGGCCCAATATACAAAGAGATGGAGCCAAGAGCCAATAAAATCTCTGAATACAAGACATAATCAAAAACATCCCCCTAACCCAAAATAGTTGAGTAACATGGTATTTATTTTATTTTAACTACAAAAGACGTGAGCATGCATCCCATAGCAAGTGGAAATCTGACTTAGAGAAACACAATTCATTCTCTTTTACTTGACTTGTTAAATGTGGTTGATTTAAAGCTTGGGGCTAATTATGTTCTTTCAATGCTAATACATTAAGTACATTATAAAATAGGTCAAATCCATGTAAACTTGATCTGTTTTCTTAACATGTCTACATTTTTTTAGTGTAGCTAACATCTCTACATCAAGTACATCAGGCTATTTTTGTACCCAGCTCATTTTCTGAAGTCTGCAACAGTTTAGCAGGAGGCAGGTTCTCTGTTACTCTCACAAGTGCCACCAAGAAAATAGAAAAAAATAGAAAAAAGTGTATCACAATCATAGCAACCCCAATAAGTCATACTTGATATCTCCTTCTAAGTGATTGGTGTGTCGGTTTAAACGTGAACGGTCAGGTCACTGACGCAGAGCCAAAATCATCAAATGGGGGGAGACTGGGGACGGTTGCAACAAGTCTGATTCCTCCAAACAGAAACATGCTAGAGTGATGAAACTAATACTGCACGTGCTCAGTTAGACCCCCCCCCCACCAGGAAGACGGCACTTTCAACATCTGCTGCTGCATTTATTGAACTGTTTTGTCGTACTGTCCTGAGTTTTCGTACAAATTAATCAAAACTTATTTAGTTTGAGTCACTGTTTTGTTAACTTCTAAGTGATGTGGTTAGCATGTGCCAGGGTCAGTGTGTCTAGCTAGTACATGATGTTCTGTCACGGGTGATAGGATGGGGGACGTTTGCAACTAGTTGTTAAAAATAACTTTGCTCAATGAGCGATTGGAAGGATTTTAGGTATTTCACTCTTTTATGGTGCAGAATATCATCAAAAGACTCAGGGAATCTCTGTGCGTAAAGGACAAGGCCAAAAACCACAACCGAATGCCCATGACCTTCAGTCCCTCAGATGGCACTGCATTAACAACCAGCATTATTCTGTGTGAGAATGTGTGTGTGGGTGTGTGTGTGTGGGTGTGTGTGTGTGGGTGTGTGTGTGGGGAGTGTTTGCTTATTAGCTGTGTCATTATAGGATGTCTGTGCGCCTTTCAGGAAACCCAAGGTTGCAGTTCATGTTCACTGAAGTGTGAAAAAAAAAAAATCTGTTTTTAAAACAGCTGCAGTTTTGTTTTAGTTTGCTGCATTGCAAATTGTTCCACATCTCCACCACACTGAAATGCAGAGAGATTGAACAGCATCTGTAACATCTGCGCACTGACTCAAGGTAGGCTACATTCTATGCATAAACAAACAAAACTCAATAACTGTCATTTGATTAATATTGATAAATAAATAAATAATACTATGATGTTGTACAAATAAATAATATGGTGATGTTATTGTAAAACAATGTATATTTTCAGAATGCTATGATTATTGAGACAAAGAGTAAAAGTCAATTAGTGAAATCTATTGTAATTTTAACATTTTGCAACCATCCCTGATCCATGTTGCAACTGTCCCCAGCTTTGGGGTGTAAGTTTAATTGATAAAAATGTGGTTGGACTTGTCCTAATAGTTCAAAACGTATTGTAACCGTCCCCAGTCTCCCCTACGCTGTGGAATCAATGAGCCAAAATCTAACGCATATCTTTGCTATTATTTTATTGCTTGTCTTTTGTCATAACAGCAGCTCGGTCTGTGTGAATCAGGCATACAGTACAGTACGAATGCGCACTGAGAAAACCACACTGGCGTTGAATTCCCTTGTGAATTAGTTCTTCAGAGCAGATCTGAATATGGGTGGAGCGTTCACTGAACTAATAGAAAAGTTAAACACATCCGCGGCAACCATGATAGATCTGAAAACAACCTTATTTTAGCGATGTGGCAGTAAGAAATATTCTAACTGACATTTACTACATTCACACAGTGTAGTAACATAAACTGTGACTGTGCTTTAGCTCTTGTATCGCAGTAAAAAACACTTTTACCAGATCAGTGAGCTGCAGCTCCTCTCACTGAACACCAACTCACAAAGGCTTTACTGTTTGGGAAATGCCCCCCAGCTGATATGGAGATTCTGATTGGTTCCACCAATGTGTTTGACGCTCTCTCTATTTGTGTCTGTTGGCACTCCGAGTAGTTTCTTTACGATGTAAGTGATCTGAGCTCAATCAGAAAGTGGTGGGTCGCTCCCAAGTGGTGCGGCTGTCTAAGCGTTGGTCTATCAACAGGAGATCATGAGTGCGATTCCTGGTGATGCTACAGCCATCCACGGCCGGGAGTCCAAGACAGCACAATTGGCCTTGCTCTCCCTGAGTGGGTAGGATGGCCCTCCTTCTCCCCCATCAGTCAATGCAATGCTAGCCAGCACAGGCATCTGTTAGCTGATGTAAGAGAACTGGCGGTTAGTGTTCTCCTTCAGGTATAGTGGCACCTTGAAGATGCGGTGGCACTTCACATAACTTGGAGGATGCTTGTGCTTGCCCTCCTGGCACAGATGGAATCATGTGACTGGGGGAGTCATAACTAGATCATAACTAGATCCTTAAAAAAAAAGAAAGTGGTGGGTCAGATGCTCGCTCGCACCTGCGGTTCCAGCAGCTTTGACTGGGCCCGTCTTTTTTCAATCTGATCTCATTGATTTCTAGGAGAAATTACGAAGATATTTTGTTGTTTTTTTTCCTTGTATTTTTTCCTCTATTGTGTGTGATGTAGAAGTCATCTTCTCCCTACCCCAGCCCCAAGACAGAATGCTGAAGCACAATAAGTCTGTTTTCTTATAGTGTAATGATTTTATTCTGTTCCTATTATAGGATGTCTGTGTTTGAGTCTTCACTTCTTTTCCCAAAGCTAATTTGTGTCTCCATAAATAAAAGAGAAAAAACATAACAGTTACCCCTTGTATTTACATTTAGACCTTTGGCATAATCAGTCATTTTCATATCAGTTATTTTAATATAGGTTTGTTTTATTATTGAAACATCCAACAAAGTTTAAATCAGTGAGAAATGAAACTGTCCACAACTAATTCATGCTAATTTTCCCTTGTGTAAGGACCAGTACTACTCATTAGTCACCCCACCACACTCATGATCTGCACTGGTGATAGGATTGTGGAATTTTATTCCAGTGTTCAAGTGTTTTTGAACTTTACTAACATTTAAAAAATATGTACTTTTGGCTTTCGCTCAAGTATGTCTTTGGTTCAACATTTCCACTTTTAATAAATAAGATTTTGACGCAGCACCCAAACTCTCACTGTACTCTTTTTCTCTGCGCTTTCCACTTGACTGTAATATCATGGTATATACGGTGGACATGCATTATTTTTACATTGTGTTTGTTTATATTGTTTCTGAATGTGACCTGGCTGTTGTCTTGCTCTCATTGTGATTGTATTTAGTCTCTGATTCCTCCTGTTTCTGTTCTCTTGAGCTTTGACACCACAACACATTTATCTTACATGTAAAGTACTCAGTGAATAAATGTTAAGCCCTATTTGAGCAGCATAGTAGTTTATATTATTATATAGTTTATATTTAGTTTAGTAGTATATATATATATATTAGTATTACCTGGGGACAAACTGTAATTTGCTCTGTGATTTTAATCCAGTACAAATCTGCCATGTCTGTAGTCTTTACAGGTCTGCCAAGTAATAATTCTGGAGCAAAGTACCTCCTATAATTTATAAACTCAGAGAGCCTCAGCAATAGTAATCCTACCTGAATTGACATCTCAGCGATATAATAACAAAACTGGGTAGTAGAAAACTGACAATGCTGGAGTTGGCTTCCTATTCGCCAGCTTCTTGTTTTAGTTCAGTAACTGCTGCACCATGTAAAGTGGAATGAGAAAATTCGAACTAGAAGCTGGCGAATAAGAAGCTGACTCCAGCTTTGTAGAAAACGGTGCCTCCCTTTATTTCATTTTTGTGAAGACAAGGCTGTCACCTAAAATGAAGCTCGATTTGACTCTTAATCCTCGAGTTCATGACAAGACTGATAAAAATCCACAATTTTGGGGATGGCTGAATTACACGGAGAAGAAAAATGAAACAACTTGAAAGTTCCTCTCTCAAGGCAGTGCGTTTTCTGTCTTGTTGGGGCGACATCTGGCAAGTTGAACAAACACCCACTTTACTAGCCTAGTGCTAGGCTATGCCAGTCAGCCATACAGCATGTTATTGTTCAGAAGTGGCACCTGTCTTATAATGCCGCTGTAAATGCCCACACGATGATCTCTTGATCCGGGCTGTTTGGGCTACTTTGGGATCCCTTATCCCGTATGAATCGGCCATGAAATCAAGCCCATATTACAATACCGGACCTCCTCTTGTAAAACTAATTCAAATAGGGCTTAAGTCACTCCTCTATGATCTGCTGTGTTTGGCTCTGTTTCAATTCTTTTTTTAACCCTTGTCCCACTTTGACTCACCACTCAGATGTGCATCAGTCCTGCATCACACAGGTGGCCACTCTTTGCAGTATGGAAGGAGGGACAGTGAGGAGTGAATCATTCAAACGCCCTCGCCTCAGCGAGCTGATCGGCTAGCCTTGCATACTTTGCAATGCAAAGCGTTTAAGATGTTTGAACATAACTCACACAACGTGTGTGACTAACTGCTTTGCCCGGCTATAAACTTGGAGCAGAACCGTGGTGTAGTGCTTTTCTTTTGGTTCTTGTTAACCGTGTACGCTTTAGCATGCTAGTCAGCCAGCAGTGGAAAGTGCTGAAATTGTATTGGTCATCATGAATAACAGATGGAGCAGTTTGTAACCTACAAATTGAATATTACGGTTTTTGGAATGTTAATCACTTTAAAGTAGAGTTCAGCTTATGAACAGCTTTGTCCACAGTGACTTTAGGGTTTGAGAAGGGGAATGCATCAGATTGCAATGATTTCTGGGTAAGTTCTGCTGCTGAAGTCTACACTGGTGTTCGCTCAATCCCTTCGCCCCTCCGAGGGCTCATCTCACATCCATCACTTCAGCTAATAAAGTAATGGAACTGCCCTTAAAATGGCGCGGGGGATTCCCCACAAAGAGAAATGCTGTGTCCAAGTGGACGGAGGCTTTTAGAACCGGTACTGAAACTGGGGGTTACACATTCAGTATCAACCTGCTCTTCTTCTCCTCTCTGCTTAGAAACAGATGACTCTGATACTGACTCCTTATTTCTCATTGACCAGAGCTCCTGGATCCTGAATTCTCATCGGTCAGATTTCTTCCTGCCAAATGTTTGTCGGTTGGCTCTGATGCCAGTCTGTGGTGAGAGATGGAGCAGATCGTGAAGTCCCTCATTTACCTCGCCTTTACAGTTCAACTGGCCTCAGCAGGTCAGTTTAAAGTCCTTGTAATAAACGTTTTAAAGCTTGATTGTAGGAAATGTTTTTAAACATTTTTATAATCTAGCTGAAACATTTTAAATAGTGCATTAAAATCATTAACCCCTTAAAATGCCAGGCTTCTTACATGCTAAGGCTTATTATTCAGTATCTACGGGGACTTCAGAGTGAACTGGTTGATCTATTATTAAGTTATAGAAGTGTGTAATGGAACTCTGGCCATTTAAGGGGTTAATAAATTATAGATCATGTTAATAATGAGAAATGTGTAGAAAGAAATGAGATTAGGTTCCCTTTTTGAACACTGAGAGGGTCATTCTGTTTGACTGATGCTGGGGGTGTGGCTAATTAACCTATTCAGCCGGTCACCTGACTGGAAACATATTTGATTGCTTAATAATAAAAATGAATAACATTATAATAATAATGTTAATACTGTTAATAACAATAATAGTAATAACATTCATTTTAAGGCCATTACTAAAATCAATACTTGCTTGTGTCTTTAACTTATTCTGCAGGATAAGTGATCAAGATCCGTTTTGTTTATTAAAAATGAGTAATAATGAATTACATTAATTTAAAAGATATTACTGATATCAGCACTGGTTTGTTGTTTGTTTGGTCTTTTCGAGTGTTGTGGCTGATGGAGCTGCAATATTGGAGGTTGTGGTGACTGTTTGCATATTTGTTCACTGTATACATATTTCCTTCATGACAAATTTTTGATTACATTTTCAGCCTCCCACTCTCTTCGCTACATCTTCACTGCAGTCACACCGGGAATTAACTTCCCAGAGTTCACTGTGGCGGGTCTGGTGGATGGAGGGCAGTTTGTGTACTATGACAGTAACATCAAGAAGTTCATCCCAAAGACAGACTGGATCGAGAAGAACGAGGATAAGGACTGCTGGGACGCAGAGACACAGGATCATCTGAGAGTTCAGGAGATCTTCAAAGCTAATCTGGCTACAGCAATGAAGCGCTTCAATCACACTGGAGGTGAACATGGAGACGCTTTAAACACTAGCTAACCTAGCTAACGTTAGCGCCCACTGGCAAAAGCCAAACTGACCCCTTGGTGGGTGCTAGATACTATGTGGTGGGCACCAGATACTGTGGTGAGCACCAGATACTATATGCTATGTGATGAGCACCAGATGTGATCAGGTGCACACCAGATAACATGATGAGTACCAGATACTATGTGATGGGCACTAGATACTATGTGGTGAGCAACAGATACTATTTGCTATGTGGTGAGCACCAGATGTCATCAGGTGCACACCAGATAACATGTGAGGAGTACCAGATACCATGTGGTGAGCACAAGATACTATGTTGTGAGCACCAGATACTATCTGGTGGGCACTAGATACTATCTGATAGGCACCAGATACCAGATTTTTGAGTAAAATGAGCATATAAAGATCTCAGTCTTAATCCATAATCTGAATCAGATTTAACGTGTTCTCATTCTGCTCCTTTTACTCACTGAATCATCTCATCAGTCTGAACACAGATTGAACATTCACACACACTTTAAAGGACCCGTGTCCTTCATTTGACTTGGAGATTTCCCCTGAGTAACATTTGTGTGGCTGTGTGTACGTAATATATTTCTATATGACCATTTTCTCTCTTTATCTCTTAGAATTAAACAGGCTGTTTTTTACAGCGTCTTTAATACTGAACTCTGTTCTGATTGGCTGTCTCATTCAAAAAGCAACCTAAATCACTCCTAATTTCAGTGTGAATGGGTGTTTTTATAGCTTAGTTTCCATATGCATGTATGAACCGGAGAGTGAATGGTATGTTTTCAAAGTTCCAGTTTCAAAAACAAGCAAGGAAGTTTCAGTTTTACATGATACAGGCCTTTTAAAAATAATTTAAACCTGTGTTCTTCCAATTACAGGGCAAAGTGCTTATAATTCTAATTTCTTTGTGGCCTTAAAAGTCCATATTGCACACATTAACTTTATTAAATATGTTAAACATATTAAGATATTTGCAGATTGTAATAAAATATATCATTAATCCAATGAATCCTAAGCTAGTTTTATTTTTTACAATGAATATTTGAGTCAATTACAATAACAAAATGTTTACAGGAGAAAGTCATACTATTAATTTGTTTAGGAGCCACTGGGCTACTCAGATATAACATCATTTAACATGTAAACACTAACAGAATTTTGATATATTTATGAATTTGAGTAGTTTTGATCAAAAATGTACTTGGGGCCTGTACTTGGCATCCTCACTGCATGTGTTCTGTAGCAGTGCTCTGATATGTGATGCTACATGATGTGTGGCTTTTAGTTTTTCTGAGGGTCTTCCTGGCTCTGATTTACCCCTCTTTCTATCAGTGCCACCTATCAGTAAGCTCCCACAGCACCGATCAGTGAGTCCTCTGAAAAATAAATAGGTCAAATGTGTTTATTTGGTCGTTCAGACGTGGAACACAAATTTGACACCTCGTGATTTTAAAATACCGCCATCATTTTTAAATACCGCGGTATACCTTATTACCATTATGATACACCAACCCTATCTGGTGGAAATGTGTAATTGCATGCAAGGTGTGGAAGAACATTTTGTAATGTGGGTTGTGCTTTGGATCCCTTCCTAGAGTGGATGAATCTGATGATTGCGAGTGCATTGAAAGGGTATTTCAAAAAAACTCAGTCAGAACGATCTACTATTGTCATCATATCTTCATCAGTACAGTGTTCATTTTGCATTTGAGACCTAAACATCGAGCCGGACCTTCTTTGATCCTGTACGTGCTGTAGTGATAATCCAGATACGGTTCTCAAGAAAGTATAAATAAGCAGTTTTTGGAAAACTACTTGAGTAATTGAGTTTTTTTTTGTATATCTGCAATCACAACCTGAATATATGTCTAAAGTGATTTGGCTGGAAATGATCTGTACAAACAAAACAAAATATACTATCAGGTGCACACCAAATATTATTAGGTGAGCACCAGATACTATGAGGTGAGCACCAGATAATATGTGGTGAGCACCAAATACTATCAGGTGAGCACCATATGCTATGTGTTGAGCACCAGATACTATGTGGTGGGCACTAAATACTATCAGATGCAGACCATATGCTACATGGTGGGCCACAGATACTACGTGGTGGCCACCAGATACTATGTGATGAGCACTAGATGCTATGTGGTGAGCACCATATGCTTTGTGTTGAGCACCAAATGCTATCAGGTGCGCATCATATGCTATGTGGTGAGCAGCATATGCTATGTGGTGGGCACCAGATGCTATCAGGTGGGCACCAGATGGTATCAGGTGAGCACGAGATGCTATGTGGTGAGCACCATATGCTATGTGGTGGGCACCAGATACTGACAGCTGCATCTGCCTATGCAAACTTCTCTGTGACAGAATGTTTTAAATTATTTCAGATTTAGCAGCATAAATAACGGCAACTAATCCAGGCTACTTGTTGAGGTTTAAGAAAATTGAAACAAAATTTTCCAAGTTAAGACACAAAATAGCCTCTTTCAATTTTAACAACAAAAATAAGTCTTACATAGTGCAGCTAAAAAAATACCTGACAGGTGTTCAGCAGTGACTGCTCCACGATGGACACTGACCTCACTTAATCACTTTACTTAACATGATATATGTGCAATCATGTCTCTGCAGGGGTTCACACAGTGCAAGCGACGTACGGCTGTGAGCTGAATGATGATGGAACCAAGAGAGGATACCACCAGGAAAGTTATGATGGAGAAGACTTCATCAGTCTGGATCTGACCACTGAAACCTGGACCGCAGCCAACGCTAAAGCTGTTATTACCAAACAGAAGTGGGATTCTAATGTGGGTCGGACTAACAGCTGGAAGAACTACCTGGAGAATGAATGTATCGAGTGGTTACAGAAGTATGTGGAATATGGAAGATCTACTCTGGAGAGGAAAGGTACAGTGATCTGATCTGTTACTGTAACTGTTCACTCTCACTGTTTCACCCTCATCACTGAAAACCTGCTCGTAATTTAATCACAAACACCCTTCCCTTCAACACTGACAGTAACTGTTACTAACATGGTATAATATTGCTGATAGTATAGACAGTAAAATTCACCTACACTGATGTGCCAAAAGTCATGGGACAGGAATTGGTATTGTGTAAAACCCCTCTAGTCCAGCAAAGTGCAACTTTACGTGGCATCGATTTCACAAGTGGACAGAAGATGTCTGGAGGGATGTTGAGCCATGCTGTCTGGATAGCCACCCACAGCACTGTGGTATTTGTAGGTGCAGGATCTCGGCTGTGAGTGGACCTCTCCACCACCTCCCATAAATACTCGATTGGGGCGAACCTGCAGGCCACACCATTCGTCAGAACTCTCCAGAATGATCCTCAAACCAGTTCAGGACAAATTGGGCCTGATGGTACAGTGCATCATCCTGCTGGAATATCCCATCGTTTTGGGGGTACATGAAGTCCATGAAGGGCTGCAAAAGGTCACCAAGCAGTAACACAGAGCGATAGCGGTCACTGGTCAATGAAATTTTTAGGCGGACCAGTGGACCCAACCCATGCCATGAGAACACACTCCACACCAGTATGGAACCATCACCATCTTGCACAGTGCCTTGTTGACAACTGGGGTCCATGGCTTCATGAGGTCTGCGCCACACACGAACCATCAGCCCAAAACAACTGGTACCACGACTCATCGGACCACAACACATGTTGACAGTCCTCTAGGGTCCAGTTAGCAACCCCAGGAGCTTTGGTGAGGCGCTGTGTCCGGTGTCGTGGTGTAAACAGAGTCACTCTGGTGGGTCTTCTGCTCCCAAATCCCATGGAAGCTAAAGAATGCTGCACTGACCTGTGGGATATGTGTGGAGCCTCCTGCATTGAATGTGGATGTGATTTCTGCCAGAGTTGCTTGTCTGCTTGCATGGATAATTCTAGCCAGATGCCGCCGGTCATGATAATTAAGCACCTGTGAGCGGCCACTGCGCTGTCCACTGTGGGTGGTAATGTGTACTTTGCTGGTCTTCAACATTTGTAATTTATCCTTTAGTACTGTTGTATATTGCACATATAAATTTCAGAATATTGCAAATTGTACGTCCTCAATACCAGGGATTGTAAACATATTCATGTGCTCTATCTCTACTGCGCGCTCCAGTCCGTCCTGAAGTGTTTCTGTTCCAGAAGAACTCTTCTTCTCCAGTGGTGTGTCATGCTACAGGTTTCTTCCCCAAAGCAGTGATGATCTCCTGGCAGAAGAATGGAGAGGATCTGGATGAGGATGCGGAGCTCAGAGAGTTGCTACCCAACCAGGATGGAACCTTCCAGAAGAGGAGCGTTCTGACTGTCTCACCTGAGGAGCTGAACAAACACAACTACACCTGCGTCATTCAGCACATCAGCCTTCAGGAGGAGATGGTGCTACAGGTGATTAATCACAGAGTCCTGCCACGAGGTACCGATCTGATTCTAAAGGGCAAAAAACTGTTACTTTGAAAATCACAGTATTAAATATGCAGCTAATGAAAATGTACAATTTTGTAACACAGGTGTTTCAGATGGAGGGTCAGTTGGCGTCATCGTTCACGCAGGCGTGGGTGTTCTCCTGCTTTTCATGATTGGCTGTGTTGGAGTTTTCATTTGGAAGAAGATGTGAGAGAACGTGTGAAGCTCAGATCTAACCGTGTGTTTAACAGTATCCAGCTAACAGTTTAATTAAATTCAATTCAGGCAGATTTTAATATGGACTCAAGTCAGGGACTCCAATCAGTGATTGAGACTCAAGTACGACTTCTTGAGTTCTGTCCTTTAGACCGAAACATTTTCTGTAATAAAAGACTTGTTATTTGAAGCTGTGTCAACAGTTTTTAGTTGGGTTCTGCTTTTGTTCAATGCAATGCCTGCAGCTAATAATGAAAGGAAATTTAATGTCTCTATTAAAGCCTCGAGACTCAACTTGGAATCTCACACATTTCCATTCTGACTTTGTGTTCATGATTTTGTCATATTTGCTGGTCCAGTTTGTTGTTCCTGACAATGTTATTGTGTTTTGCAAAGAAATTTGTATTTTGCTTGTATGTTGTCCTTTGTTTTTTACAATACTATAATACAATACAATACAATACAATACTATAATAGACTATCATAATCTATCTCACTCTTTCAGCCTCAGGTTCTGATCTAGGTTATACCAAAAAAGGTAATATGTCATCTTGATGTATGACAGTTGTAAAGAACACAGCTACAGCTACAAGTACCGCTGTAAGTATTCTTGAAATGTTGGGAATACTGCATACCGCTTTATCAAAGATAAACTGTAATTATTTCGCTTTTTGGGTTCCCACGTTCTCCCAACATTAAACCTAACAGCAAGCGAGCGCTCAAATGTAGTGTTGCATCGCAAAGTTTTCAGAATGTCCACACTGGAAACATCAAGTACGTACATCAAGCCAACATGTAAACAAAAACATGAATCTATCAGAAAAGAGCTTCTTTACTGATGGAGCTGTTCAGCTGTGGTTTTGGGACATTGACTTAATAGAGCGCGTACTGGCTTATCACAAAATTTAACATCAGTAATCTAAACATAGTTAAAATAGCATTATACCGCCCCCTGGTGTTGGGCATCTACAGGGTCTACATAGCTAACTACCTACATATCCTTATTAATCAGTGTCTGTGTTTACATGCAAAGATTTTTGCCAATTTATTTGAATACATTCCGATTATAGAATAAGACTGAGGTGTTTATATACTAATCTACGTTCACAATCTCACTACAAGTAATCCAATCCAAAATTACAAATATGCGAAAAGTACCACTTAGTGTAGACGTTACCATGACAACGAGCATCATGTGAGTCCCGTCAGAGTGAGACGAGTAGCAGAGAGCAGTGCTTTTGTTTTTAATTACTGATGATGTCAGACTCAGGAAGACGTCCTTCACATGTCCTTATTAAAGAAGGCCGAGAGGAAGACGTCGTGTTCTGAGACATATATGCTGGACGTCCGTCCCACCGCCGTCTTTTAAAGATCATCCTCTGCAGACCAGTTTCTGCTCCGCCATGTTGAATGGTATAAACTTTCACTATGACGCGGCGAACACGATCAGAACGTACTTAAACTTTCCGATAGGGAATGTAATCAGATACAGGCGTTTACACGGCTTCTAAAGTTGGAATGGCAGTAATGGGCCCATCAAAAATGGCACATCGCACTCTGCTGCTCATGGATTATAATGGGAGCATTTTGGTTTTGTTTTTGTCCCTTTCTTGCGTTCCTTGCTATTAGGACACAATGTTAGCTACAGTACGTTCCCTCTTTAGTATATGTATCCTCTATTATTAATAACCTGATGGGCTGTGAGAGTGAAGGTTTAGCATGACCCTCCAACTTATTTGTCTTTCTGAACTTTTGCTAATTAGAATACTAAATATTTTCCAGACTCCTTCACAGTGTCTTTCATAGCTCTTTTTTGTACTGTGGTAGCTAAAGGCTAATTGCTAGTTGTCTGTGCTTGTTTTAATTTAGCATTAAACATGGCTTTATGCTACTAAAAGCCTGTATGTGTTTCTGTATTTCATTGAAAAATAAAATAAAACTTGTAAATTGCATATTTTCTGTTTAGAGAATATCACTTTTTTTATTTTACAGTACAGTAAATGCCTAATATGTAATGGATAAATATGGAGCACTTACAAGTAACTTTCTAGTACATACTTTCCACATACATGACAGGTATATACAGCAGAATTTAATATAATGCAGAATTTAATATCAAGTAGTAACAATGTACTTACATTTAATACTATATGCATCCTTTGCAACTTCAGTATAAAAATACAGAGTAACTAATGTGAAAAAATAAGGTCGTCAGTTTAGGCTAAGAACCTACAAAATGGGTTAAGTACTGCAAACTGCTTCAGTACATACATATTTATGTGTTAGAAAAGAGTAGTTTACAGGTACAGTTGACAATAGTGTAAAATCATAGGGCACCAACCACTGAGTACCTGATAAGTACCTCCGAGTACAGTAATTCATTCCATATTAATTGGTATTATGAGTCAGGGTTATGCTCAATACAGGTAGTTTCTCTGTAATTACAATGTACAAAGTTACACTTTATTTTACAGTCCTTTGTTCATCTTATCACAGAGTGCTAGTATGTACCTGGTAGTATGTCTAGCTAATTTCTTCGTATGATATGAAAATAAGAGGTTACTGTGTAATTACTATGTACAAAGTTACACTACAGTATTACAGAAGACTCACTTGTAAACATACTAATTAATATGGAATGAATTACTGTACTGGAATAAAGGTACTTACTCTGTCTTACTCTGTACTTTCCTGTTGGGTATGCATATATTTACTGAAACACCTACCACTATTTTTTAGCTTATATATACTTATTTCTGACATTGTATTTACATACTGATCATGCAAAATATCTATCAAGTAGTACATATTTACCATTAAATTCTGAGTAAGCCCTGCTGTTTGTACCTGGTAGTTTTTATATAATTTACTATTTATGCAAACTATGCACCAGAAAATTACATGTAAGTACCATGTATTTACCTATTAAATACTAGTTACTAGTATTTTCCATGTTTTCCACATGTATGGGTGACCCTGCTATCAGAATAAGCTTTATTACTTGACTGTGAGCTTATTTTCATTGATTATTTCTTTTCATCACTTTATTTTTACTTGATTTTAACTAAGTGCTGTTTTTTTGAGCAGCATATAATGCATAAAAAATAATCCCTCTTCCCTCTGTCTCTCTCTCTTTTCATGTCCTGTTAAAGCGCCTCGCCTACCAAAGAATAATGCTCTTCCTCTGGATAACTGAATATCAGATTTGTTCTAGTGTTGACTATATGAATAAAATGGCAGTGCCCTTCTTTAATTATGCAGATTATTCTAGTGTTTACAGCACTGAGCACCACGTACATGGTGGGTGGAGGGCTTGTTTTTGTTGTCTAAAAATGAATAGTGCCCTTTTTGATGAGCTCTAAATGCTTAATATGCTGCTAAAAAACTGAAATTGTCCCTGGGGCAGGCTCAGTTACATTGGGCTGTATTTTTTATTAATGACTTTAACACAGCAGCCTGATCGCTAGAGCTGTAGTACTGGAGTCTGGTCTCGGTCTTGTCTTGGTCTCGACATCATTTAGTCTCAGTCCTGTATTGTGACATATCTTATTTTGAAAACTTATCACGGTACTTTTTTGCCATATTGCCCACCTCTGAGTGCACAACCACTGCAGGTTTGGGAAAAATAGAAATAAACCTACAAATGGACTGATCTGTGTTTTTGGGGCCGATACTGATCACCAATCGCCTTTCACCACGATCAGCCGACAGCTGATACCGATCGAGGGCGGGGCTGGATGCCTCGTTTATAAATGCAGCAAGTGATTCTGAAGAATGACTGTTGATATTTGAACTCAGTAGCAAAACAAACACACCCCTCCCTTCAGTGCTCTTTCAGAAGCTCCACCCCCCAGATTCATGGATACACCATGGTGCCAAGGTGAACAACCCTGTTTTAGGTCTTCATGGCCATAAACCCTTTCGCAATGATTGCCAGACTGAGTATAGTAAAGTGTTGAGGTGATGTTAAAATGGAAATGTTCATTAGATTTTTATGGGTTTCTGCTTGTTTTCAGCAACGCTACTGGATCAGATCCTCTCAGAAACATTACAGTCTGTTCAGGAAAGTTTGTGTCATTTATTGTTTATTGTATACAAGAAAATATCACTGTGTCTTACTGTAAAATTCTCTGAACCCGAACTGTACACAATACAGTATAAAATTTGTCCTCTGCTTCCAAAATTTTTATTTAAAGCATCTGTTCACACACACACACACACACACACACACACACACACACACACACACACACACACACACAGAGTCATTTAGGTGCAGATATTGTGTTTTTAATTCTTGGAGCCTCTTTCATGGTTTGGTTTCAGTCTCTAAACAGGCTCGTTTCTGTTTCTTTACTCTTTAATTTGAGCCTTATTGAACACTAACATCACTGAATTTATTAGAAAGCACTTTCAGTGAAAACAATCTTATGATGAGAAATTATGGGATGAATTTGATTCCAACACACTGTTGCGCTGCTGTCAAAACAATACATTTTAACTGAAGGATGTGATTTTAGTACCATGATGAAAACTTTATTAAAAATTAACCATTAATCCCATTTATTTACAATCTGTATCTTCCATTCAACCAGTTTCTGTTTGAAATCAAAAGTCTGATAATATTTCATATTTTCAGTTTAGTCTCTCAGAACTAATCCTTGTAAAACATACATTTAAATCATGAATTCTCTGGTATGTAAAAAAGTCCCATTTTTAAACTCAGTGCATGAACAGACGCAGAGGTCACCAGCAGGGGGAGACAGAGGCTCTGAACAGAGAAAGAGGCGGGAAAATAACTCAAGCTCATGAAATGGTGGAAAGATGACGTCACTTCAAATGTTTAATTATAGAGTGTCCACATTTCTGCCAGTCTGGCTCAAACAGGTGAACAGAAATGCTCGACCATGAGTGACCACAGGTTTAGCGAAGCCCACAGCTTAAGAAGAAGTAGATGATGACCTCTGAGACAGTGACCAGATCCATAAATAAGGGCAACTTTTTGAGTCCTCAATAGAGTGATGGTGTTTGTCAGACACATGCCAGGAAAGATCAGGTCATTAAATATTATTATTAGATTTATTGCTATTAGTATTAGAGTTATAGCTGTAATCACAGTGACAGAACACACGCACATAGTTTAATTTAAGGGTTCCAAAACTTTTTCATGCCAGGACCCTCATGT